TATATATATAATTTTTTGAGACGTTTTGCTATAGGATATGTGTGCTTGCCAGAAAGAGAGAGACAGAGAGACAGAAAGTGAGAAATCACCCCCCAGGGGGAATGGCCACGCCGCAGTCAGTTCTCTTCCATCCTCCTCTCAGGATCTTGGGTACACACACATATGTGCCAAGCTTGAATTTAGGCCGCCGAGTCCGGGACTTGAACCACAGTGGACTACATGGGAGTCCAGCAACATAGCCATTACACCAACTGCTGGTTTTTATTTTTTACTGTAAGATAATGAAGGAAGTACTTACTTTCCGCAGAGTGAAACTTGACTTCTGCTTTTGTGTGTGTGTTCTTTCAGCACCGTGGAGAAAAGGTTCAAGGATGGTTAGTTCAGCCCTGCGGAGAGTTGTCCATGCACCTGTGTACCTGGTGAAGAAAGCCCGTCACGTGTCCAGAGGCCATCAGCATCGGGGCTGGGGCTCTAAGCCTGCCGCATCAGAGTTTGCGGCCCATGGGAATCCAGGTGGTGTGGTGGAGCTGCTGGGCAAATCCTACCCTCAGGATGACCATACCAACCTTACCCGGAAGGTCCTGTCCATGGTTGGCAGGAATCTGCACAACCAGCAATGTCACCCTCTGTGGCTTATCAAAGAGAGGGTGAAGGAGCACTTTTACACGCAGTATGTGGGCCGCTCCAGGAGCCCACGGTTCTCAGTCTATGACGACCTTTCTCCCGTGGTCACAACCTGGCAGAACTTTGACAGCCTGCTCATCCCTGCTGACCACCCCAGCAGGAAGAAGGGGGACAACTATTACCTGAATCGGACTCACATGCTGAGGGCACACACTTCAGCACACCAGTGGGACTTGCTGCATTCAGGGCTGGATGCCTTCCTAGTGGTGGGTGACGTCTATCGGCGTGACCAGATCGACTGCCAGCACTACCCAGTTTTCCACCAGCTGGAGGGCGTCCGGCTGTTCTCCAAGCACGAGGTGAGTTTTCAGACGCTTCTCGTCACTGAAAGACACTGTGGCTATTTTGCATTGAGACCACTAAACATTATCTGCATGAAACCAGGACGGTCACCCTTGATTGGTTCATGCTTTAGTGAAAGGAATGTTATCCTTGGCCCAGAAACTGCTTCAATATTTTTTGGCTGATTTGATGTGTTAATTACTACAGGAAATTAGTTGACTCCGCTTTTTTTTTTTTTTTTTTTTTTTTTTTTTAGGGGGGTTTTTGATTTA